AGACTGCAGAGGAAAGAAAGGTGACGCCGAATGAGGATGCCAGTGTTCAGGGCTGATGTGCTCACCGCTCAAGCAGTAACCTTCATCATCATCATCATCATCAACATCAGCAGGCCCCCTTCCAAGTTTGAATGTCACAAAGCATAAATTCAACTTTCCATTAAACAGTGGCAACTAGCTCCTCAATACTGCTAATGCTAATTGATATCGATCAGCTTGCGACGAGCTAACTGCCGAGGGTATGTCTGTGTGTGTCTCTGAAAGTGTGATGCACACGGTGGGTAAGTGAACCCGGTTGCTGTCTAATCTGGCGAAACCACCGCCGCCGCCGACGTTTCAGTCGCCGCTCTGTCACCCGAACTTTGTGACGCAATTAATCAAGCAGCCACTTGCCAGCATGCTAAGGACAGACAAACATCGTCTTAAATGGGATAAAACCACATTACTCGCTGCGTCTTAATTAGACAGTGCACATGTAGATGCGGACATGGTCAAACACAACAGACAGTGAAACCTGTGTGTGTGTGTGTGTGTGTGTGTGTCTGCGCGTCTCTTTCCTTGCTTTTTGATGGTGGCCAAAGTATTGCCTCTGAAATGCACTCCTCCTTTCCGTGGTCGTTATTGCACTCGCGCCTCACTGCTCAATTAGTTTGCTGCTTAATGTCATAATCACCAATAAAACAAATAAAGGATATACACGGCGCACTTGGCGAGCATTAGCCGAGCAAAGTCAATTATCTGGCGATGATTTGCCGCAAAGCAAGCTGAATGTGCTGCACCGTTTTACGAGTTTGTAAACTTCAGGAACAAATGTTGAGGTTGCATCTCCCTTGCCAACAACCGCTCTACAACAGCCTGGCGCATTCGGGTCTCTGATAGTGAAAGGACACTGCTGCTTTTATTATCTCTATCTTATGCCAGCACTGGGCAATGATGACGATGATGATGCGGACGACAGAGTAGTTCTAGAGTGACCAAGTGGCATTGAAGACGTGTGGCAGTAATAAAAGAGAACATCTAAATTTACGACAGTCAGATATCAACTGCAGAAACGCTTGCCTCAATACATCGACTATCTCTGCCGGTCAGACTGACGGTTGATGCGTGCTCATGCCATTGAAACTGCTGCGGCATTGATCGAGCTTCAAGAGGAGGAAGGGGGAAAACTATCAAAAGATTGGGTAAAAGTGCATTGCTTGCAGCATTAAAAAGTCCAATCATCCCCTTGCCCTGTTGGTCTGTGTCCGATTAGACCTGAACAACTCGTAAAATGTAAGAAGCCGAAGGCAGCAGTTGTGAATGTGTGTTTGTGTTAATTATAATTTCAAATGCAGAAATTTTTTTCTGTGATCAAAGAATGTTCTTTGGTCATATAATGCAAACAAATAGCCAAGTTTATGATATGAGAATGGTGCAGTTTATAGCGTCGTAAAAATGGGTACCACTGGTTGACCACATCACAGTTGTGTTGTGTGTGCCGTGTGCCGCTCACGATTGCATCGCTCAGATTGTCAGTCAATAAAATAATAATTTTATTCTAATTAATCAGGTATACTTGAGCAAGGCGGCCAGCTAGCACATAAATACACTTTCTTTATGGTCGTCGGGCACTGACATAGTGTTCACGACCGGACTTGTGTCAAAAAACCCAGCCAAATCTCAAGTTTGTCTGTCTCCTTGCCTCAATGTCTCAATGTCCGCCAGTCACTAATTGCAATCGTCTGCTGGCTGTCAAAGCAACAAGTTGACTTGTGAGTTTCCTTTTTACTGATCAAATCAATGAACTTCCAAGCAAGTTCAAGCATAATAAGTTTGTCGCTACTTTTTTGGCTGTTATCTTTCTTTTTGCAGTTGACAATCAAATTGTGACTATTGTAAAAAAGTAACCGTTTACTAGGCGATTGTCTACCTCGACTTTGTTGACATGTTGGCAAAGCATTTCAATTAAGTGTATTGAAGAACTGTGCCAAAGAGTAGAGCAGTAGCCATCTCGGTGGTGATCGAAGCGATACGAAGGACCACTGACTCGTCTCCGACCAGACAATTTGTCAGTGGAAGTGAAAGACAACAAAGGATGACAGTGGCAAGTTGACTTCACCTGATTAGCCGTGTTGACTGGGTCCATTGAGGTGCATTGAGGTGCAATTAAGCACAAAATCAGTTTACTATCTATTGTCACCAAGTGGCTTTGTGTGAGAGGAGACACACGGTGGTGACTGCTGGCGAACAACAGTACTGACTTGGCTTCTGGACGAAAACTTCCACGTAGGTGGCATTGCCAAATAGAGTCATCTGCCAGCTTGGCTCAAAAAGAAGTCCTCCTGTCAACAGTTGGCTATCGATTGGCCCGCCGATCTGGGGGCCACCACCAGGAGAACGTCGGACTGGTCTTCCTCATCACTGAAGCAGCTGTTGTGAAATCGATTATAACTGATATTGAATTATCAAGGAATGTGCGCCTTCATCGGATCAGGCAGTTGATGCTAGCGTTACTGAAGATTTGCGATCAGGGGGATCCACACTGGACAGCAACAGCGGCAGCAGAAGCAAACTGCGTCTCGTAAATCAAAGGATTATTTCAGCTAGAAAAGCGAGTGCCACCGACAAGTGGCACTTTGCTCTGTGCTCGCTCCTCAGCAATGGCACCGTCATCATCATCAGCCGCAAAGGGCTAAAGGAGAGAGGTAAAGCGTCACTGAAAGTGCTAATACCAGGGCTTTTCGGAAGATTTTTTCCGCCAAAATGGCTTGTTTGGCGTTAATTAATTCGCAGTATGGCAACCAAGTACCAGTGCCTTGTGTTTGAACTGAGCCCAACAACAATGCTAAATTGGAGATTAATTTTGCATAGACAGACAACGGACGAAGAGATGAAGAGATTTGCAGATCCTCCACAAAGTGTGAGTGTTTGCAAAAGCAAATGCATTAATTCAAATTTATTCGCCGCTCATACGGCGAGAGTTGTGTTTGTAAAACATCAAAATTCTCATTAGATTCCAGTTAATTGGCTGTTTGCAAATAAGCACGGTCAATAAATTACTGATTTGACCGATCTGGCTGGATGAGATAAACATTGAGCAATAAATTTGGCTACATTGTCAGCTGTAGTGCTGCTGCTGCTGTTGCTGGCGATGAATCCGTTGTGACGCGAGTTGGGCTGTGGCTGTGACCACAAAGCCTGCGAGTGAATAAGCCACTACGGTCTCAGAGAAAGGCAAAGTTGGTTTGAGAAAGTCAAACAAAACGTGCCGGAGAGATAGTGAGTAAGAGACTTGTGAATGAGACGTGCACTGGATTTGCATTCACTCTCCATTCATCGAGTCAATCAAATGTAAATCGAAACCATTAGAGCTGCAATGCTTCACAGGCACATGGCCAGGAAGGGCACCGCCGCCACCACCATTACTACGAGGTCGACTGTCAGTTGAGCAGCAGACAATGGACAGGCTGAGTGTGCCACACACTGCTGGACCCCACACTAATGGATGATATTTGCACACAAATGGAAGCCACACTGCCGTTGCTGCTCTTGCTGGCCTGATTGTGCCATTGTGCCCGGCGACTAATTTGAAGCAAAGTATAAATTGAGCTATACAGTGCAGGCCAGACAAAGTGCAAACAATCCACACTGGCATTCTTTGGGAGCAGGACAATGAGCTGATAGTGTCCAGGCGGATATACTCACGGGGATGACTGCAGACGCTTCCAAGACGAATTCCATCGTCTATTTAATTTGGCAGCAATTTATTAGCAGGACTAATTGCCAATTTGCGGTCAGATAAAGACGGAGAGTGAAACCGTAAAGTGGAGCAACGGACATGGCTGATATGAAGGTGAACGGTACCGCGTGGTACAAGAGAGAAGAGCACTGTTGAGCACATACACATACAGACTAGCCTCTGTGCGGTCTGGGCAATCAATCAAAGCAAGGTGTCAATGTTTTGATTAAGGCCTTTACGCCTTTTGTATCGCAGCAATTGGCCGTGTGTGTTCTCACTCACTCGCTGGCTCACTCACTTCAGCTGACTTCAGTCACACAGACACTGCTGCAATGCTCCAATTCAAAACACAACGCAATGGACAAAGATAGCACCAGGTAGTGTGGATAGATAAAACGCGTGTGAAGCAGTCAGGTAAGGCACACACGGGGAGAAAGAGAGAGAGAGGGAGAGGGAGAGACCTCACAGGAGTCGGCAGTCACGGGCAAATCGGAGCACTGCGCAACAAGAAGGGGCAGAAGAACACTGAATGACTGAAGTCAGAGCGCTGACCACAATGTTGGCCCCAGTGTTGTGGGCAATGTTACCAAGCAATGTGTAGTGCAGTGATTGAATTAGCCACACTTACTGGACCAAAACTAGAGAATTCTCTCCCTCTGCTGGCAAGTCAACAATGCTGGCAGACCGGTGAGAAGAAGTAAGTGACTGGCTCGCACAGCATGGATGGCATTAGGCAATGATCGCCCAGTCAACAGGAGTCAACAGTGAATGCATGTGCAGAAGTGCCCATAAATCACTGGCTACTTAGCGGGCTCGTCATCGACCATTAGGCAGAAAGGGCAACGGGAAAGAGGAATACGCTTAAAGTCTCTGAACTTAGCGAGGGTTCAGCCTAACTAGGGTTGAGGAGATAACTACAGCACCCGATCGATCTGCAGCACTGCCTGGGTGCACCAGCAAGAAAGAGAGAGAGAGAGAGAGAGAGCTGCGACGTTTCAATTAATCCTAATTGAGTTAAATGTAATTAATGCTCAGAAACTGTGACGTTAATTTGAATATCGAAACAAACAAACGACTTGCACGAACTGCTGCACAGCTCAAAGACTTCAACTGCTGCTGCTAAACCGGCTAATTAATGATGGTGCAAAGTAATGGTGCTCGCTTAATTAATCAACTGACTGCCTGTGTCTCACGTCGATTCAGATGAATCAAATTGTTTTGCAACACATCAAGGACAATCTAATTGTGGTATGTGTTAGTGTGTGTGCGTGGGGGAACTTACCTGAAGAAGGTCTGTCAGAGTAACGGGTGCAGTAGACCCAGGCAGGCCAGAGGACCGGCTGTTTGGTCTTCTCGTCCAGTGTCGCCTCCTTCGAGTTTCCGCCGTCACCACCGGGACTCTTTGGAGAGGAAGAGTTCAGTCGTGAGGCAGAGTCGCCGCCGTGCGATGAGTTGGTGGTTGAAGAGCTGGCCGCCTGGGTGATGCTCGTTTCCTTGGAGTTATTGCTCAGTGAGCTCACCGTGGAGCTTTCCGAATCAGAGCGCTTCCTCTTCTTCCCCGACACCAGGCTGTTGATATCAAAGGAGGAAAGCTTTTGACTGGCGGCTGCGCTACTGCCGTTGCTACCGCTGTTGTTGTTGTTGTTGTTGATGATGTTGTGGTTGTTGTTGTTGTTGTTATTGCTGTTACTGTTTGACTTGACTAAGTTCAGCGAGTTGGAGTACTTCTCCTGAAATTGCTGGTAGTAGCTGAGAAGAATGCGCTGGTTCATCATCTCATTCTTGCCAAACTCCGGCGAGAGGATGTTGTCGATGGAGAACTTGAGCGAGCGAGAGCTCTCCACGACTCGGGCGGCGGCATTGCTGAAGGCAATGGTGTGCGGACTTAGACTTTGTAGCTTCTCCAGCGGACTGGCGCCCGTTATGGGCGGACTGGTAATTCGCAGTGAGTGCGGCAGCAATCGGTGGTGCTGGTGGAGGTTGTGGAGGTTGTGCAGTTGGTGAAGCTGGTGGCCGGTCAGCGCCAGGGGCTGCGGCGGAGAGATTGACTGAGGACGACCCATGCCTGCTGCTGCTGTTCTTGTGCTTGTGCTGTTGTTGCTGTTGCCGTTGTGCTGCTCAAGATCAGTCTCGCTCAGGCTGCGCGCAACGAGTGACGGCGAGTCAGACTTCTCCGGTGATTCTGGCATGGAACTTGTCGTCGGGCAGGGAGAGGCGGCGTTCTCGGAGGCGGACACTGCAGCGGCGGCGGCCGCTGCTGCAGCTGCCGCCGCTGCCGCCTTAAGGAACAGGGTTGCGTCCTCCATTGTTGACTTGGATGACTGTTGCTGCTGGCCCTGCTGTCCTTGCTGGGCCTGCTGGGCCAGAGCTGCCGGCCCGTAGCTGCTGAGTATGTGCTCAATGGAGCCATTGCTCATTGGCCCGCCGTTCATCATCAGCGACTGCAGTGAGGGCTCGGCAGACGAGGAAAGTGAACTACTGCCACGGGTGCTCACGTCCAACGCCATGTTCCGCTGCTGCTTCAGGAGCAGGTACGGCCCCCAGAAGTTCTCGTAGAACCAAATTTTGACTGATTTTACCGGACGGCGGTGGAGAAAGAAAAAGAAGGGGGCTTGGGTGAGTTGGGCTGAGTGTAAAGGAGAGATCAGCGACGGCTGTTGCACTGAATGTGATGTGATGTGTGTGTGTGATCACTTGTGGCTTGACGGAGAGGGAGACAGCAGATGAAGGGCGCGGGGATGCGCGAGAACAATAATATTATATCAAAAGCAAGGTGAGATCAACATAAGAGAGGATGAAAACTTTGACATCAAATAGCTCAAAGAAAGGTTGTGGTTGCCGCTGTGGTGATTATTGTTGGGAGGCTAGTGAAGACGGATGATGAAGATGAAGACGAAGGCGGCGCAGAAGCGGAACTGATGTGCAGAGCGCAGTGTCGGATGATATGATAGTGCCTTCAATGGGAAATGCAAAGTGGTGTAATCGCCCAGACGAAGACGAAGAAAAAGTCGACGGCGAGGCAAGGTGGTGGTGGTGGTGCACCCGTCGACGTGCACACATGAAGCGGTCGAGAAGCAGAGTGAGCAAGGCCAATTAGGCGGAATGCATTTTTATGAAGCACAAATTAGACGACAAGGCAAGCGCGAGGTGGTAGGCGAAGAGGTGGAAGAGTGGCACTGAGACCACTGCACTCCTGCTTTCGGTGCTGATTGAGTTGTGGTGCCTCCTTGTGTGCCTGGTAACGGCAAGTGGCACAGTGGGCCCGCGACAACGGCAGAAGAAGAACTTCGGTGGCTGTTGACACGACCAGGCCTGTCCTCTTCTGTCCTGTGGACATCCACGACCCGACTCTGTACGTTGTGGTGGTGGCAGTGAGCAGAGTAGTGGAGCACCGTTCGCGAAAGTGCCAAATGAAGATGCTCTTGATGACGATTTAATGGCTATATTCCTCACACATGTACACTCTGCATAGTGCTCTCTCTCTCTCTCTTTTCGTCGGCTGTAGTCTTGTCTCTTCTCTTTCAGTGTCCGTCTCTCTTTCTTCTTTCTCTCTCTTTCTCTGCTGCTCACCCGAATCAGCTCCATGTGGTATCAATTTTCCCGTTCTCTATACGCTGCTGGCACAGGCATACGCAGGCACACATCTTCATTGTGCGTCTCTCATTGCCCGCCGAGGAGTGTCCTCCACCGTCGATTGCCCGCCTTCCACCAGTCCTCTGCCTTGCTGGAGTTGTCGAACTGGTTTAGGCGTGGTGTTGTCCTCTCCCCACTGACGCCGCTACAGTGTTCTTTGCTGCCAGGCCGACTGCTGCCACTGCCGTTGCTGCTGCTAGACCCTCCTTGCCTCTCCTCAGCCTATGATCACTGGCGCAGTTAGCCTCGCTCCAGCCACTGCAGAAGTGGACGGAGAGGCGCCAAACGAGCACAGTCTGACACGACAGTGCACCCTGCCACTCACTCACATCACCCCGAGAACATGGCCACCCTGGCTGATGTTGATCATCCTGATCATGTCGATGGTGCAGTAGCGGTGGCAGCTGCTACTGCTGCTCCTGCCTCAGCTCCAGAGGATACCACTTGAGTAGATGCATTTCGCATGCGCGATAACAGCCAACATCCGTGGATACAAAGTGGCCACCGAGTTTCATGACACCGGGTGGTTGATGCTGCTGCTGCTGCCCAGTTTCGAGCACTTCAGTGGCTGCAGAACGGAATGCAGCATCTTCTCAATTAGCCATCGGCAGAAGACTTTGTCCGCCTGTCTTTCTGTCTGTCTGCATTTGTTGTCTTCACTTTTTGCTCTATTTGAGCTCAACACACTGCAACGTCAACTGTGTGCATATTAAGATATATGAATTCCCTTTTTTTGATTGACAAAAAGCTCGCTAATTAGGTGGACGTGCACAAAGGGACGCAGTGATATGTGTGCGTATGTGGGCAAAAACAAAACACAGATTGAAGATGACAGTAGTGCAGTGACCAGCAGTGTCGGTGGTGTAGCTTCTTCACTTGCTGGTAGCACCGTGGTTCTCTCTGCTGTCGGAAACTGGCCAAAAAGAGGCTCAGGGAGTGAAGGCAAGTGGACTGGGCGCACTGTGCAGTCGCTCATTTGCTGGCCTTTGGCTTTGTCCACTCCAATGAGCGTCACGCGGAGGCACGACATCGCATTATCGTTATCGCAATTTGCCGGATCGCATTCACATCGAACCTCGAATCGCGCCATTCAACACTGCTGCACATTCACTCTGTGATGACCTCGCCGAGAGAAACTACTATTTCTGTTGCTGCTGTGCAGTTTGGGCGCTGTTGCTATTGCTCCTTTTCTGTCATTTGGTTTTCAATTTAGATCGTAGCCATTAGGGTGATTTGAGCTTGCAATTAGCAAACGCCTGTGATTGCATGCAAACTAGCAGCCAAATGGTCGTAATTAAAATAGATTACCACCACCACCAGCAAACGGTGTGACTCCTTTTCATCTCACAGCATAGCCACCAGCAGCAGCAGCAGCAACATCAGCACTACTAGCGCACAATCACTCGCCAATAAACTCAAGTCACCCGACGAGCCGAGGTTGTTATAAATTATTAGTTTGCCAAATTGCTCGCTCTTTATTCGTGTCTTCATTAGCCGGCATGGCGCAAGCGTCACCGCCATCATCGTCGCTGGCAATTGGCTATTAGCCATTTACAGTGCTGTAGGGTAGAGAGAATAATATTAGTAGTGGAGGTGGTGGTGGTAGTAGTAGTGGGGAGCACTATTAAAGTAAATGGTGAGTGTCTTTGCATTTTAATAGAAAGACAAACCAAATGATGATGAAGATTACCTTATGATAATTACAAATCACATTCATGACACTTTAGCTGAAGGTTTTTCTGGTTCACCCAAACATTTGCAGATATTACCAGGTGATAGTGGGAAGGGGGAGTGTTCCCATTTTTGGGGAGCAAACTGTTCTGGTGCTGGCGTCCGGAACAACCGGCAAAGGTGAATGTGCGGCAAGCTAAACATACACGCACACAGAAGAGGAGCTGTTTTCTTTGTTGTTGATCGGCACTTGGTCAGTGCATCGAAGCGAGTTTCCGATGTTCTGCCAAACTTCTAACCACCTATAGTGGCGCTCGTAGGCAGCAAATTCCACCGTTTGCCATTTGGCAGAATGCAGACTCCACTAGACTGTAGTAGACGACGGGCAGTAAAAAAGAAGAAAAAGGAAAAAGCAGGCAGGCAGGCAAAAGACATCGTGGAAAGGAGAACCGCCACTGAAACGTGATTGCAGCTGTCAGTCGTCCAATGATTAAGTAATTTCGATGATGATTTCGCTCACTTTCTCTCATACACACTCACATCAGCGGCACCAAGCAGCGAAGCAAGGCAAACTTCAGTTTCAACTTTGCCATTGACTTAGCAGTAGGCACTCTCTTTCTTCTCTCTTTATCTCAATTTCTTTTTCTCTACGCTTCTTCTTCTTTCTCTTTTGCCCGATTTAGCTACTTTCACAAAATTAAATCCTGCCCAAGTGAACACTAGTTGACATCTAATTGATACCTTCACCTGAACATTGTCTGCCTGCGACATTCACACTCTCTGAAGTGGACGACAGCGATACGGGCGCCTATCTAATCGCCCTCTCTTCTCAGTGGGTAAAGTGGCTGAGAGAAAGGTGCTCTCAGCCTAAGTTGATGGTGCCTATTCAAATGTCTCCTGCTAATCAACGGCGCAGTGGTAGCGGCAATTAAAGGCGAAAACTTAATGGCATCTCAGACTGGCTGCAGCAGCAATAGACGTAGCAGCAGTGTTTGCTTTAGCGTGAAACAGGCAGTCAGACAGACAAAGAGAAGACAATTTAAGAGGTTCGTCACTCGGCTCATTATGCTTCACAAGTCGACGCCACCAGTTGAAGAGCCAAGACTGGAAACTGTAGACTGTAGACTCACTCAGCTGCATCAGCAGCAGCCACAACCCCACTGGCCATAATTGTGCACTCTTTTCACGGTCATTGGCTTCCAATGTTACAAATCAATTATATGTTCAGCTTATTCAGCTCAGCAAACTACACTTGGAGACATCCACTGCTGCCACTGAGCACTGCATTGCACTTTGACTCCAACTTTAACTAGAAGAAAGTGCCCACAACTGAGTAGAGCGTCTACCGCTACTACCATCATCATCATCATCATTAGGTCTTATAAGTTAATTACGGTGCTAACCCCGTAGAATCGATCGATTTGCATGACGATGCTTAATCATGAGCATTAATTATTAACAAAGCCATCCAATTAATTAATTAATTTGCCCATGAATACTGAACACAAACTGTGCACTGGCTACTTGATCCAGTACTAGTGTCTAAAAACAAAATCATTTGTCATTCTTGGCAAGCACCAGTAGCAATTAATCTGGTTTCAAATTAGGACCATAATTTAGAATCAATTAACGCATGTGCTTGTATTGAACGGATGCACCCTGAGCACTATTCAGGTAGCATTCAATCACATTAAGCATTCTTATTACCAATTATTAATCAACGTTAATTGATTGTCAAGCTACTGCCATAAGAAATGTTGAGGGTCGCTGAGCATTTTCATTTTTTTCATAGCGATTTTAAATTTCAAACTTGACTTTTTTCAAGTGACTGGGTTTGAAATGAAAAGAAAAGCCTTTGGGCTGACGAGTATAGAATCAGCGTCCAAAGTGCAACGCCAACAATTTGTGCTTATGTCAGCAGAGCAGTCCTCACCGACAGTCCACGACTGCTGCACAATGCACTTTGATGAGTGCACGAAATATTCCTATATGTAATGGCCACTGCAGCAAACTAATTTGATTCTGATCTGCCAAGTACTTTGACTAGTCGTTTTCGTCGTCAACGTTTGCACACACACGAGCATTTTCACAACATCCTTATTGGCTTCTGATTTGATGACCTCACCGCTCGCTGGCTGACTGGTCGATTATGCAAACTTGATTACAGCTCAAAATACTTTTGTTATTGGCTCCTTCTCAAAGT